AGTTTTGCACTATGAGTTTTCAAGCGGCCGCGCCCGAAAATTTTCGCAATATGTACAATCAGTCACAAATATCGCGGGGTGAAGAAACAAAGCATTTTTTTTTCGTTATGGTCCACTTTGCGCACGTTTCTTACAAAATAACATTTTGGTATTGGACATTTTTCAATATTTCAACAAAATGTTTCATCAATATTTAAATTCAATTTAAGCAAGAAGAAACTTGTAAGTTTGATTTTTCGAGACCTGCTTTTCTGAAAAATAAAACATTGATTTCGCTTGAAACAAAAATGTGATATGAAACGTTGACATGTCAAATGTTCATTTGAAAAATCTTGAAAAAGCATCCTTAAAGAGCAAATTTTGGACGCAAATTTTTCTTGAAAAGAATTGCTGACTTAATGATTCCTGCTGCTTGAAATTCCAAAATATTCCTCAAAAGTTTTAGCTTTTTTCTCAGACTTGAATTTTGGATCGCGTTTTGAATGCTATTATTCAATTATGAGAAAAAAATGAAAACAAATTATTGTTTTCAATTTTTATTTAATGGCTAAATTTTGACACACACTTCAACGAATGCCAAAACAAAGTGCCAAGATGAAATGGTATTGCCAAACCTGTGAAACAAAATCCAAAGATGAATGAAGCATGATTTGAAAAAAAAAGAAGCAAATTTAAACAATTTAAAAAAATCATATTACTTTATTTTTTTTTCCAATTACGTTGCGCATTTTTGAATTTACAAATATAATTTGTTTGCTGATTCGAAAAAATATTTTTTTTTTAATGCACATGCAAATCCAAAAAATCTTGCCAATTTCACAAGCAAATGTTGTTTGGATTTACCGTACGGCTTTTTTGACAAATTTCATTACTAAGAATTTCGCCAATTTTGATTTATTCATAATTTTATGTTTCCAAACGGATCCAATGGCTTGCGGTGAATGATGGCACAAATTGATGCTGATCGTAAATGGCGAGCTTTTGCTTGCATCTTTTTTTTTTTCCTTTTTTTTTTTTCCCTAAAAAATGTATATACATTTTTTTTAGAATTCCTGGCACGAATTGTAAGATTGTCGCCACTTCTGGGGCCACGTTTAGTTTTCACGTTTCAAAAACGTGAACAATCTCAAGTTGTCGCGAAATGCAGACGTATGATTTTTTTGACTTGCGCGGTGTGTTCGCATTGCAAAAAATTCCACAATCGCAATGATCGAGAACGTTCTGGTCGGGAAATGCAGAACTGTCGTTATTTTTGGAAATGCGCTGGGAATTCGAATTTTCAAAAAATCAATAATCATGAGGATCAGAACGGCTTGGTCGCGAAATCTAGAAATATCGTAGAAAGAAGAAAAAAACGGACGAAAGAACAAAGAAGAATTAGGAGAAGAGAGAATAGAGAAGAGAATAGAGAAGAAAGGGAAAAGAAAAGAGAGGAAAGAAAAGAGGATAGAATAGAGAGGAGAGAAGAGAATAGAGAAGAGAAGATAGATGAGAGAAGAGAGGAGAGAAGAGAGAAGAGAAGGAAAAGAAGAAATAAGAAAGAAGATAGGATAGAAGAACGAAGAGAAAAATGAAACGAGAAAATATGATCCCAGATTTCTGATTGATATCGTATATATGATATATTTTTTTTTATATTCCAGATATACGTATCATATATGATTTATGAATCCTATGATTTTTTTCAAATATTAACGATCTAGATATCATTTGCTTGAACTTCTATTTTTTCAATGAATTATTCGAATAATATATTATTACATTTTCTTGATATCTATATATCATTTAATTTTAGAATTTCAAAAAAAATACTTTTATCTTAAGTCCCTATCCGAAAAATACGAAAGAAATATTCAGGAATATATATAATTATATATGGAAAAATTCTCTATAGTTCGTAGATAAATATCATATTTCCTAAAATCATAAGAAACATAAATCCGGATTTGAAAAAAAAAGGAATTCCGTATTCGTAAATATAGATAAATCATGAAGAATATATAAGATCCCAAATGAATCCCGACGAATCTAAGACCGCACGTGACCAAAAACGATCAATCTAATAGATTCTGAAAGATTTTGGATCTCCGCCTGGGGTCTATACCGAACCGCCGTACAGACGCCCGAAAAGAGAGAAATGATTCGGAATCTCGGGGAATTTCGAATTGCTCGGCTCGCGCGGCCAATCCAATCTTTCCGCCTTATTTTCCTGTCGTAGGCTATTTGCGCGACGGATCAGAAGAGCGTATGAATATCTATAAATAAATGGGATCAATTTACAAATTTTAAATAGATTTCATTTTTCGCGTTCCGCGAATAGATCAGATAGCCAGAGAAAGATAAATCACGTAAGATATCGTTCTGCAAATAAGGCCCATACGATCAAAAAGAATTTCCGAGATCCGTCCCAAAAATTATTAAGATATTAAAGCTCTTAAATTTTCTGAAAAGTTCGAAAATTTTCGAATCTATCGAGAACCCGCCTATCAGAAATATTTTAAAATTAAAGTAGAAAATCTAAACCGCGCACCGAAACCAAATAATAATAACTAGGCGCGCGATAATATTCAATTATATTTAAATCAAATCTATAAGAGAATAAATCAAAGATCAAGCTAATTCATTAAAATTATATTTTTCTAATATCTATCGATAAATATCTAAAGAATTTATGATTCTCAATTTATCAGAAATATAAAGATACAAAAGAAAATGAAATCAAATTTAATATAAATGCACGAAACTATCAGAAAAGAAGAAAAAGAAAATAATATTTGAATATAATTTATGATTTTTTTCATATAATTCTTTTTTTTTCATTTATAAAATAGAATTTGAATTTTATTATCAAAATAAATAATTATTTTCTATAAATTTATAGATATATTCATTCATATAAAGAATAGCCTAATAAATAATCAACATATCAAATCAAATCAGAAATCCGATGAATAACCAATATATAAAATCGAATATGATAAAATTAATAGATCTAAAGATTCTATATTTCTATTACGGAATTATACGTTCCGCCGACGCGCCGCGCAAATAATCAAAAAAAGAGAAATAATTCGAAATCTCGAGAAGATTTCGAACGCGTAGCCCTGCATCCTGCCCAACCTTTCTCTCTCATTTACGTATATATCCCCATACATAGATACGATCAGTCTAAAAAATTCTACAACATCTTCATTCTCCGTCTCGGATTTATATCTATAGAATCTATCGAAACTCGTAGAAAGCTCGCGGAAAGTTCGCGGAAGCCCATTCGAAGAATAAGAACTATGCGACCAAAAATCTCCGAGATTTTTAGTCGTATCGCCCGCGCCAAAAATCTCGAAGATTTTAGAGTTTTCAACTTTTCCGAAAAGTCGATATTTTAGAGCCCCTAGGGAACCCCCAAAATATATTCAAATAATGGCTACATACGAACGAAACAACTATAAAGAATAATATCGTATTATCAATATATATATTATAAATCAAATCAAAATCCATTTATTTTAGATATAATATATAACTCTCGAAAAATCAAATGAATTTATCAAACCAATTTTCTTATAGTAAATCCTCATTATTCAGCATCCTAGAAATTACGATTTTCGCATTCATAATCTCATAATCTCTATCGAACCATTCGCATATGAAAGAAAGAAGAAATTTAAATTCATTATATATAGTTTCATAAAAATAGCTCATCGATAAAGAATGATTTAGAAGAAAATCTAGCAACCATCAAATTCAATCAAAGAAAAATCATAAATTCAATCAATCAATCTATCATCAAATAGAAAAGAAATGAGATATTATAATTATAAACAAGACAAAAATTAACGAGAAACACATTATCAAATCGAGAAATCAATTACTTAAATCCAAAAAACAATTTCACAATATTCTTCATAAATTAGAAAAATTGATAGATTTATCAAAAAAATCAGATCGCCAAAATTTATGACGATTCAAAGATTAATGAATTGATCATCATCAGAACCGCGCATCAAGATACGCAAAACTTATTAAACTGATATCCTGACTAATTAATTATCAGAGAGGTAAGAATTCCAGAAACGAGGGCCTACCAGCCCAACCCAATCTACGGCCAAATCATTAATATATAACAAATGTCGAAAAAAAAACGAGATAAAGAAAAAGAACGCGCGCGAATAAAAATCTCCGAGATTTTAGATTCATTATTCTTTCTAACGAAAATTGAAATTTTAAGCACCAGCTTCCAAGAAAAGTCTTTCCAAAGAGCCAGAATAGCTAGATCCCGGCGAACACCATAACCCCCCAAAGAGCGAATATTCAATATAGTCGTAGCTTTCCCTTAAGAATTTTGTTTTATGATTTTATCATAACGATTACTTGAGATAAATAAATAAATATATAGGGTAGTCAAGACCTTCGTATGCCCAATTATATATGTAAGAGTTTTGACTCACGAATCATTAAACCAATTGGAGAGGCCAGAACTACCTTTTATGAAAAACTTTGATACTGTGAGAAAAATCAAAGATATATTATCAAGGCACTTTTTCTCAAAACAAATTTTCAATTTGCATTCCTAATTTTCACAAAAGTATTTCTCTTCAAATTCCATGATGTTTTTCTTCTCTTCTTTGGTATTTGTTGATGATTCTTTCTTTGGTATATAATCCAAGGATTATTCAAGAATTAGCGACGTTTAGTTCGAAATCCAATTATGATATAAAGACATGTGATTATTTCTTTCATTTTGTAATCAATGGTTCTGAGATCTGCTCTATGTACATCCTTGGCCGTCCTAGGCTACCGGCTTTACCGGCAGCTGCAACCAAGCTTTCTAGCAGAGTGCAGGCAAGTCTTGATCAATATTGGCATGTCAAGTGATAATTAACCTTTGCACAATGAGTCCTTGACAAGTACTTGCCAAGGTCATGCTGTGAATTTGAAGCGTCTCTGCTTCTTCCACGGTGGATCCTGCAATGCTGAAAGCGTGCAACGCTGTGATTGATTTCCTATAAAACTTGGACTGCTCTGAGGGCTGTGCTGGTGGATCCAAATCGACCAAGAGATTGACCTGAATGTTAGAGAGGCTGTATACATTTAAACATACTCGTATTTGTACATATGAGCACATTTCCTTTTGACCCAATCGTAATAATGATTGCAAATGAGGCCGTAGCTACACCTGTGCCAACCGCTGGAGGCTGTCCAAGAACAATGGCACTTGCAGGCGAAACCATGTTGTCGAGCAAGTCTTCCTGCAAGCCGGTAGGTCGGTCCGTTCAACTCTGTGCTTGGCCAGCAAACGACAAGATCCAGGGACAAGAACATAAACATTTCATTCCACTTTAGTGGAGAACCCGTTCTCACTGGCACTTGACTTTCACGCCTTGCTAAAGTCCTTATCAAAACACAGAGCGCTGAGGCTCTAGTCGGGTAATTGCGGAATGGTGCTTGAATCTTGAAGACTGTGTCGCGCATTGAATGTACCTGATTTTCACATATCAAAGAAAAACATTGATAGACACCCGTGTCGCAACAGCCTCGAGACTAGTGAGGCCTGACAGTGCAATGCCGTCCTTGCATGCTGTGGACAAAAACTGCATGGTGGTCTCGTAGGACATCTGCAAAAGCGGTGACGTGCCTCAGCATGTGTTTCTTTCGGGCACGGGGTCAATCGATCTTGCGAATCAGAGCAATTGTGCAAAATTAAGGTAGCCAAAGCTATCACCATTTTAGGTTTGAAGTAAGCGTGCCCAGAAGTGCCTGTGAACTTCCGAACAAACACAATTGGCGATGCAAACTGACGACTCTTTCAGTGCAAGCACCGCGTGTCCCTTGCAGAGGGCGCACTGATTTTGTAGCAGAGACTTCCAGACCCAAGGCCGCAACAGTGTATCATTCCAAGGCGGTTGAACCTGGGTGTTGTAGACGCGAAGGGCTTCCGCTTAAGTGCTTCTAGGTTTTGGGGTCTGATTGGGAGGTTTTCTGTGGAACTTTTGATGTGGCCGAGAAGCCAAAGTGCGAAGGTACATTCCAAGGGGAATGTGCCTTGCATCCAGTGTTTAGAAAGGAGTTGGGGCGTGGCTGTGCTCCAACACATTGGGATAGGCGTTCACAATTTTTCTCTCTACTTGATTTCCTCAACATTCGCAATGTTCTGTTGACTGTGCCTGCGCCTTCTGATGGCAATTGCCCGCAAAATCAGAAGGACCCCGCAGCCGTTGAATAGTCTGCCACCCTGTATTGTGTTCAGCCCGTCTTCCCACACCTATGCAATTCAGTGTCCTAATGGTTGGGCACCACTTGCGACACAGCGTCGTGCTTGCTTGTACCCACATTCACTTGCGAAACCTCATGCTTTCTCGTGTAAGGCACACAAGAGACTGAAAATGAGTGTGGAAGAGGAGCTAATCACATTCATTGGCAAAGATTCCGTTTCAAAACCATCCTTGAGCACCAATACATTCTGTCGCCCAAGCACGGCCGCAAGTCGCCAGCTTGTGCCATATAATCGGCGATTAGCGACAGGTGCCGATGATCGACCTTTGCATGGCAGTCATTGCTTTGGCATTTCTGTGCACATCGGTGTAAGTGTGTAAGATGTATGGTGGACAGTGAACCGGTTCGTATTGCTTGGACAATTGTTGACCTGCTTTGCAATATGGCATGACCACCGCCTTTGCTTGAACAGGGAGCCGTTGTGTATTGCCCTGGGCACTTGCCAGAATCAAGCTTTCCCCACGAAACATGCAAACCATGGATCTCGAGAAGAGGACTGTCTCAGAGGATGGCTCTTTCAAGCATGCTCCCATACGAAATCTCTTAGGGAGGATCCCAAGCAAAAAAAGATGGCAACATATCCACAACCTCAAGCATCGCTCATGCATGCCCCAGAATCTCAAAAGCCAGCACAGATCCCATCTTCGATCCACAAAGCCGGAAAGCAAGGCTTGCCTGGATGCCGTAGTGGCCGAAAACACCGCGAACCTCTCGGACGACCTGCAGGATCAGCTTGACGGTTTCAGCATCGTGCAAGTTTTCAATGACTGGGGTATATACGGACTCTTGCGGGACTTGTAAAGATTGTTGATACGTACACTCCTCGATTCCGGAAATCAAAAATCCGGGTAGATCCACGGTGCAGATTTCCTTTCAAGGATCATGTGGGACTAGTACGAAGCTGCATCCCCGTCCTAACGTTGAGGATGCAGTGAGATTTCCATGATCCGTGGAGTGCGATTCTGCAGTCATAGGAGGCTCCTGATGAGCCCTGCAAGTCTCACAGGAACGCCACAAAAAACAAACACGATGAGTTGCTGCGTTGTCAGTCCTGGCTTCTTGCAACTACGTGTAAATTCTCATTACGTCCGCTGTGTCTTGTAAATTTCTTAATCAAAAAGCAAAGAGGAAGATTATTAGAAAATGTGTGTGTCAGTAATGCAATGGGAGCAGCTGATGCTCGTGCAGCTTCCACACCGAACTTCTCCAAGATGTGCCTGACGCAAATCATGTCGCTCAATTCGACAACCATGTAGTCCTAAATAATTGTGCGCTCCATAGGGACATCTCACTAAAATAAATTCACCATCGTGGAAGCTACCATGCGCACAAACGAAAAAGAGAGTTCAAGAATAAAATTCAAATCGTCAACAACATGCCCCGCGGTCCGGAGGTTGTTGGTGTAGATCTGGCTATGCCCCACCTGTGGCCGCAGGTGCTTCGCATTGAAGAGGTGTCATGTAAGGCACAGAGCAGGATAAGCAAGGGTATGCATGCTTGGCTGTGGGACGAAACTGTACGCATCAGGTGTGAAGGAAGCTACCAAAAATCATGTGGTGCGAGAACCCCATTTTGGTGTCAACATTGTGGCATGCATGTCACTCCAATTTAAAGATACAAATCTAGAATAGGGCTTCTCAATGTTCCTCAAGAAGGTGACTGCTGCAGCAAGTGGTATTACAATCTCAAGCTCGTGCCTGTTTCTTGAATGAAAACCCTTGCACAATTTGGAGGCTTGGCTTATGCATCCCTCAACAGGATATCTAATCAAGTCCACCTGCGAAGTCAAAGAAGCAGCTTGAAATTAATATCATTTATTCGGGCTCTTCATGCAAGCTTCATGCAACAACTGACGAAAAAACTAGAGCTGCTTATGCCCCAGACCTAACGAGATCCAAGCCAAACTTGTTTTTGTCCACGACTGATCTGTTTCAGATCTTTGTAATCGCCCACCAAAACTGTGAAGGTATTTGCGGAGCAGGGGTCCCTTGTAGAACTCAACATGCTAAAGTTTAGTTGCATCCTGGCTGCCAGCGTGGGTGGCAAGCATTGCAAGCCGAAGATGTTGATGCCCTCGCACTCGAGACTAACCTCGCGGTTGTCGAGAGGTTGCCGCATAGACCAGAATGTTTTGCAAACATGTTTCCTTTTTGACGCTAGTCCACATGCACCTTGTCGTGCTCCACTTTCACATGCACAGCTTCCACACCAACGCAGGCGGGGTCCTGGAGTTGGACTAGCATCGCGGAAAATGGGATGAGCAAGGTGGACCTGAAAAAATGTTGCAAGATTTCATGGATGGACTCTTCAATTTACACGGTGAGAACTCGATGCCACAAGGTCATAATTAATGAGAAGAACCCTGTCTCAGCAAAACTCTACGCGGGGAAGCTCTCTCAATTTTTCAAATGCTCGAAACGCATACATAACCTTGGACATGCTCGCCATGCCAACCAGGCAAGGCAACAAAAAGCATCTCCGGGTACGACCTCTCAACCCCGGAGCATACCTCGCGGGTCCTGCAACGTTGCTGCAGATAGAACGCCACGCAACACCTGGCCATGGCCACCAGTTGCAATTCGATTGAAAATTTACCACGGTGACAATTCCAAAATCTGGATGATGCCTCTTAGAAGGTTGTACCACGTAGCACCCAAAAGTTGGATGCCACCTTCCACGTCCTAGCTTTAGGCACTCTTCCTAAATAAATGCAGCCATGCATGGAATAGCATACAAGCTATTTACCCAAAGATTGATAGAGTCGTTTGGGGTCTAGCAGCATGAGTGTAGTACACAAATTAATGCGCCGTTTCCATCCTTTTGGCTCGTTTCCTGGAATAATCTCTGAGTGCTGGCACCTCCCCCACGAAGAGGCTGTGAGGGCACCTGGCAGACACGTCAATATTTGCCCGAGCCATCATCACTTTGCTAATGGTTCCGATGTGCATGCTCCCTCCCAGTTTAGCTTTTGTGTAAACGCAAAATGTTGGTGCCCGCACACGTTCGAGTGTAAGGTGCGGGGAAGACCGGATATGAAAGCTCTACTTAGAAATCTGCAATGAAAGCTTTATTTAGGAATCCGTGATGAAATCAAGTTCGCTAGGCCTGAACTCAATGTTTGTCCCCTGGAACCCAAACTAAGCATTCGCTTCAAGAATTTCCGGCAGAAACCTGGGCTGCTGAGTGTTGTCCATAATTGAGAGGTTCCCCACTGCGTGGCTCTTCCTCTTGACACCTATACATGAATCTCCAGGACAGCTGCTGTTTGCTAAGCCGCCCGCTGTGCATGGTTGTGCGTCACAATGATGGACAACCTTGCAGCAACACCGGGTGCGCAACCCGGCTTGAACGATAGAGTCAATAATCGCTCCGTTTAAAAAATCCACCATCTTCGTCATCATGCTCCACTGGATTTATCTTTCTAACTCCCTGAAAATTGTTGTCGTCTTGTGAAATCCCTTGCGCTATATCCGAGCCATGGGCGCGTTGTCCCTGAGATCTGATCTCCAAACCATGCCGTCGGCTTTCAAAGCCTCCGGTGAAGGTCAGTGTCTCCAGATCCCGAAGAAATCCAAAAAACATCCAAAAACACAAGAACAATCCAAGTGCTTTCGTTTCTGGCGAAAAAATGAGTCTGACCCACCATGGTTCAGATGACTCAGATTCCAGAATCTTCCCTGAGCGGGCGTTGAAAGTGATAGATGGCTCCAACGAAGGCATCTCGTCGGGCATGTTTTGATGCATTTGCAAGATACAACTTTCAATTCTGCGGCATACAAGTCCTAACCTTTGTGAAACCAGCCAAGCGTGCCATGTGAAGCCCCTAGCATTTAAGTTAAAGCTTCCTAAATTTCAAACAGTTGAGGTTTCTTTGTTCTTCCTGAAAATGGATATTCCCCTGTTGCCTCCGCAAGATCCTGCTCTGCCTGCTTTTGCAAAGCTCGGGCTGCATCGCTGAGCTTTGTTGCCTCAGCGAAACATGAAGGCAGGGCATTGTGACTGTTCATTGTCGTGGCGCAGACTTCTCTGTAATGGGTTTGTGGAGCTATACTCTGGTAATGAGGGATCATATCAACAAGCTTCGGAAAATTGACTACGCGGAACTTGTAACAGAGTGCAGGGGTCAACCCGGCCATGCTTGCAGAAAAATGCCGTCTTCAGGCAACTTTCTTACGATCCATTATGACTTGGGGCAATGGCTATTGTTGAGGGGATCGAGGACATTTTATTTTTGGAGGGAGCAAGTTAAGACCCCATGAGGGAACGGCAACTTTTCAATAAAGGTTTGCTTTGTCGGGGGTGTGCAAGTTTTGTGGTGGTGCCCGTGACCTCAAGGAATTGGAAACCCAAGGAAATTGTTGTTGCTGTTC